GAGAGAGAGAGAGAGAGAGAGACGTTACTAGAGTTAAAGAATTTGTATACTTGAAGTGAATGCATGAAAATCAGTCATCGAAATGAAGCGAGTGATGCGAATACAGCACAGAATATACAGAATATATAGTGACTCGAGAGTCGATGTATTGCATGCTATTTATATTCCGTACGAGTACTGCAATCCTTTACTATTAAACAAAGTCTTAATTTTGTAATATAGCTGATAAACAATACAGCCGTTTAAGGATTAATTTATATACAATTTGTACAAATATCCTAATAATATTCGTAGATTCCTAATACAATAAACATAATTGTTTGTTGTTTACGAGTGTGATATTATTAATAAGAAATTAGCATGAAAAATTCTTAAGGCTTATGATAGAAATATGTTTATCAAAAATGTTTTTGGTTATTAGTCATAAATTATATAAAACCTTTACGATTATACCAAATGTTATCGAAATTATTTATTCTCAAATATTTTAAAATTTAAATTATTACTTAATGAAAATGAATTTTTACAAAGAATTTTGTTTACTTGAATATTGCTTTTTGAAGTATTTTAAAGTGCTGTCTGTACGAGTAATTTAGGAAATTTTTATTGTTTAAAACTGTTTTTAAAAGTGACTTTTAGCTGAGAATAAATTTAAAAATTATTACATCAATACTATTAGAGTTTGCATTATAAATTGGCTTATAAATTATACAGTATTTATTTATCTAACCAGAATTGTGTAAAAATACCCGTATAAGTAATTTATAAATCTATAAGTGTATCGTTTTAAAACTAATAAATTATTTATTTTAATGATTAGGCTTTTAAAATAAAGTTAAATAATGATATTTCTCGGTAAACATATGATTGATAACCGATGAGAAGATTTTAAAAATATTAAATAAAACAGAGAATATGAATAAATTATGTCAAAATAAATTACAAAATCCATTTATAATAACCAGCAAAATTCGTAGATTTTAAACTCTATTTATAATCTTAACGTTTTAAATAAATACAGTAAACAATGTTCAGATTTCCTACTCATGTTGTATTTCAAATGTAGCAATTTTTTTACCTGATGCTATTTATACAACATGTAAATATAAGCCAATGAACTCCTAACATGACATGATAATAGTCGCATTGTCTAAGAATTGTAATATTTAGCATATTGTATACATGCTTTTAGCTAATAAACTTACGTAACATTTAAAAATACCACGCTATCAAATAAATTCCGCTTTTAAAAGCTTGTTTATTATCCCTTACACTCACTGCCATTTACTGTTAGAGTATAAAATTCAATTGATTACACAATTGAGAGTAATTCTCGCATTTTTATTGTAGAATATTCTGGGAATTTATACACAATTGTATTGTGAAGCGTGTGTTGACTTGAATTGAGTTTTGTGTACAGAATAAACATATAAAGCATTGGAATTGTTTCAAAGAATTGCAAACAAATAAGGATACAGGAGCTAAACTACCGGTGCTAATCAAACTGTTATTATAGTTATTTTTGGGTTTAAATTTTAAAGTTACCTGGTTTTTATTTATCATTTATACTTACTATTACTGTAGTAATATTATTATATATTAATGCAATATTTTAGATAAAAATAATGTAAAATTTTTCCAAAGTAAATATTAACATTAACTTTCTCAATACATTCATTCATTATTCATTAACTTGTTCATTATTAATTAATTCAATACATTTTATTTGTTCATCTGAATATTTATATAGTTATGTAATTATGTATGAACTTCAAATAAAATTTATTGTATTATATTCTATACATAATTTGNATTGGCTTATATTTACATGTTGTATAAATAGCATCAGGTAAAAAAATTGCTACATTTGAAATACAACATGAGTAGGAAATCTGAACATTGTTTACTGTATTTATTTAAAACGTTAAGATTATAGATAGAGTTTAAAATCTAGGAATTTTGTTGATTATTATAAATGGATTTTGTAATTTATTTTGACATAATTGATTCATATTCTGTTTTGTTTAATATTTTTAAAATCATATGTTTATCGAGAAATATCATTATTTAACTTTATTTTAAAAGCCTAATCATTAAAATAAATAATTTATTAGTTTTCAAACTTTTCAAACGATACACTTTTATAAATTACTTATACGGGTATTTTTACACAATTCTGGTTAGATAAATAAATACTGTATAATTTATAAGCCAATTTATAATGCAAACTCTAATAGTATTGATGTAATAATTTTGAAATTTATTCTCAGCTAAAAGTCACTTTTAAAAACAGTTTTAAACAATAAAAATTTCCAAAATTATTAATACAGACAGCACTTTAAAATACTTTAAAAAGCAATACAAATAAACAAAATTCTTTGTAAAAATTCATTTTTCATTTTCATTAAGTTATAATTTAAATTTTCAAATATTTGACAATAAATAATTTCGATAACATTGGGAATAATCGTAAAGGTTTTATATAATTTATGACTAATAGCCAAAAACATTTTTGACAAACATATTTCTATTATAAGCCTTAAGAATTTTTCATGCTAATTTCTTATTAATAATATCACACTCGTAAACAACAAACAATTATGTTTATTGTATTAGGAATTTACGAATATTATTAGGATATGTGTACAAATTGTATATAAATTAATCCATAAACGGCTGTATTGTTTGTCAGCTATAACTTATTACAAAATTAAGACTTTGTTTAATAGTAAAGGATTGCAGTACTCGTACGGAATATAAATAGCATGCAATACATCGACTCTCGAGTCACTATATATTCTGTATATTCTGTGTTGTATTCGCATCACTCGATTCATTTCGATGACTGATTTTCATGCATTCACTTCAAGTATACAAATTCTTTAACTCTAGTAACAGCTCTCTCTCTCTCTCTCTCTCTCTCTCTCGCATACTCTCTCCAAATATACGGAATATTCCCTTACATTAAATGAATCTAAGTATAGATATTTGAATATTTATTTTTTTCTAAATGTTATATTCTGATTGGATATTATACTAAACATATAAACTAATTTAAAAAGTTTATATGTGTATTTTGATTTGTGAATATAAACAGTGTGTCAAAATTGATTTGTGAATTAAATATTTAAATAAATAATCGGCAAAGAAATGGATGGATATATAGCTGATCAGCAAAATATCAGTGAACCCGAAGTTACGGACACTTTGGAGGCGTTGGGCATCGAGTGGCAGATATTCTTCATAATCCTCTACTCATTGATAGCCTTTTTGGCACTTTTCGAGAACTTAGTGGTGATTATCGTTCAGACATTTGGCAAAAACTTTGAGCCAATTCTCCGCAAATCGCTTATCAATCTGGCGGTGGCCGACATATGTGTGGGCGTACTGTCGGTGCCCTTCCTATACACGGACTTCATGTTAGGCCACTGGATATTCCCGCGGTTTATGTGCCCCGTGTCGCAGGTGTCGGTGCTTTTGTCGGTGTTTGTCAGTTGCTATACACTTACGCTAATCAGTTTTGAACGGTATGTTTGAGTTTATAATGTATCTTAGTTTAAATTTAGTTTATTTCTAGGTTTACTGATAACTCAATAATTACTTTTTTAATTAAATTTCTATTTAAAAATCATTCTTAATGCAAATAATTAGTTTTACAAATACGTTAATCTACCAGGCGCCGTTTTTGTTATTTTTGTTTATAAATTATATTCAAAGTTAGTATAAATTACATTTATATTTGCCTTATAGTCTAATTGATAGGCTTTAGGATTGTTATAACATTAATGTAGGAAATAAATCCCAGATTTGGGTCATTGCATAACAAGAGTTATGCAAAATCTGAAAACAATTGCATTTGCGGTCAAACACAGTATGCGGTCATTAATTAGTCCATTAACTCGTTGTTTGTTAGATACTGTAAGTCTCTACTAGGTATACATTTACGGTATATTCAATTAACTGAATACAATAGTATATATAAAAAATTATATAATAGTCAATTTTTTCCGTGTAATAGTATATCTCTAATTAAAAATTCTATTTAGTGACTAAATTTAATAAATTCAATAAAGAATTATACTTTATTTTTAATTCATGTATCTATGTATGTTTGTATTTATTTATTAAATTTATTTTTACGAATCATTTGCACCAAGGTATATCCTGATAGTTCACCCCATATTCTACACATCAAATTACCCGAAAATTCAAACTTATTCATCAAAACTACTGCTAATCGGATGGATTTTGGGCTCAATATTCGCGGCCGTATCGCTCCGATACTCTCAGACACTGGAGTTCCACTGGAAGGGTCGCCTATACTTCGACTGTCGGATGGTGTACGGCTCCGACATCTCGGAAAAAGTTCACGTTTTACTCGTGTTTACCCTCACATTTCTATTGCCACTCGTATTGCAAACCACTTTTTACTCGTTAATTGGTCTGAAACTC